CCTGGCCATCTGTGTCTTCCCCCTTTTCCTTTAAAGCATTCACCTGAGCGTTTGCAGCAATTACACCCACACTGGTTTGCATCAGTCACAAAAGCTGTAAGCCTCCAATTAACCACCTCATGCCTTTTAATGATACAACGCTAAACAAGGAAGAGAATTAGAGGGAACATCCTCAGAAGTGGTTTGCAGCAGGACAGAGCCGTCTTAATTATTGTTTGTATGAGGGTAGCACCTAGGAAACTCAGCTAGAGGCTGTGAAAACAAATAGAGAACTTGGGGAATTAATTTAACATGGAGAATTTATAGTCTATAGGACAAGACAGAGTAGGTGGATGAGGTGTAGTGTAATGAGGAGAACACAATGATTTTCTAAGGATCAGAATAACCTGTCAGCATCCTTTGCTCATCCCTGCCAAGTTCCTGTATCCTCCCTCCTAGACACCACTTCAAGAGTGTGAATGCTGGCAGAGGGCTCAACAGTAAAGAGCTTCTTTGACTCCCAGAAGACCCACGCTGCCAGCGCAGGGGAACGCGTTGTCTCTGTCTTCAAAAGATAGCTGGAGATACTGCACCTGCTCGGAAGGTTTCGGGCAAAACAGCATTTCAGAGGAATTCACCAATTCAGCAAAATCTCAGCAAGGTGAGTCAATTTTGCCCAGGTTCCCATGAAACTCGCACAGGGCTCCAAACATCAGAAACCTGCTGAGTTTCCTGCCTGGTCACCCATCTGGTTCCTCCACCGTTCAGGTTTCCAGGGCCCTGGGGCAGCCTGCTGCCAAACAGGCTGCATAGCAAGAGGGGATTTCACTGCTAGCACACCTCTCAGTTTGGGGTATCCCACATGTTGGACCATCTCAGGGAGGAAACACCAGAGCATCCACAGATGGAGAGCCCATGAAACCCAGTGAAGTGCTTCAGAGACCAGCTCTTGAGACAGCCCACAGTGCAAGCTGCTGCACTAATTCCCTTTTGCAGAATTTCTACCTGGTTGTGTTCTGCTCCACTTTGGCAGGAATGCAGCCTAATTTAATCAAGATTAAGCTTTTTCCCAAAACAGAATCTTTTTTTCAAGACCATTCCTAGCAGACACCCTCGCAGGACAGCTGTAGCCAGTTCCCTCTCAACAGCACATCAGTCCAGTTCCAGCTGGTCTCAAGTCAGGGGCAGAGAGTTGTACGTCCTGTACAGCCCACCACAAACACTGCAGGGATACACAAATCAGCCAAATCTACATTGTCTGCTCTGGAAGACAGACTGTATGAACTCTCTTACAGTCTCACGAGCTCCTCTTGGGAGGAGAACAAGGTAAAGTCTCTGTATTTACCCATCAGCTACTAGCAGAAATATTTGATCTGCCTGAGGACTGCACAGCTGATCTTACGAGTGACTGCAGTGTCATGGGCTGACCCCAGGGCTCGGAACAGTTCATCAGACTCACAGACAAAGGAAATGGGGGGAAAAGAGGAGATTCACTTGGAAAAATCACTTCCTTAAATGACATTTATTCTACGATTTGCAAGAAAATATGGGGGACAGATTTTGGAAAGACTGAGATGAGGCAATACCAAGACAAAAGGGACTGAAGGATACTTAAAGTATACGAGACATTTTTTGTTCTGTTTCATGTAACACTGGACATTTCTCACTGCTCAGGGACCAAATGACAGCAGCAGCAGCCGCTGTGCACAGACACCTTTGCTTGCCCTGTTCAGCCACCAATAGGCTCCACTGGGAGCCTAAATTTATTTATGCTATGAGAAACATGTTTCCAGAAGTCTGTTGTTCCCAAGACATACCCACAACGTGTTGAGCAAGCACCAAGGCTTCTCCTTGGGATGCAGCCGGACGTGCTGTGAAAGCTGAGAGCTCCCAAGCACACCGTGGGGAAGTTCTCCTGGGAAACATCTGTGGGAGACACTGACACCAGCTGAAGGGTTATGTGGAGCTTGAGCAACAAACCATCTGTCAAGATCTGCTTATTAGGATGTTTACTTACAAAATTGGCCTTTTCATCGGTGCACCAGGAGCAGTTTCTGGAAGCAGCCCTGACCACCAAGGAAACAGTCTAAGAATCCATCAACAGGAACAGGAGTGGATCCAGCAGCCAGAGGAATCAGTTTCTAGCAGAGACTCGCTGCACTTTGTCCATTTTGCCATCTCTCCTATCTGTAGATCAGTAAATTATTTTGGTTTTTAGATCAATATAAGTGAGGGGAGGGTCCTTTGGCAGGACAAAGGGCCTTTTGTTTCCCCCCTCCCCATGCAAGTGCATTGAGTCTCTGCTACACAGTAGGGATGGTGATCTATTGTTTTCACTTTTGTTGTTTCCTGTCTGTATCATGATGCTTGTGGTTGAGTAGTTAATAAAGGGTGGAAACCCAACAGAAAGAAAAGTCAGTTCTCCACTGCCTTTTTTTTTAATACAAAATTATTTGTTTATTTCACATTTTTGTGATGGATCCACAATTTTTACTTAGGCCAAAGACATAAGTGCTGTGCTCTGAAGTCATGAGGAGCACCCCCACAGCCAGATGACTTCACATGAGAGTCAACAGGACAGAGGACGAAAGTCAGAAAATCTTGGTTTAGTGGCAAAGATGAGGGAAGGGAGGAAGGCTCAGAGCACCCACATTACCATGTTCATGAGCCCATGCAACCTACCCAGGCAGATGGTGGGCATCTGCAATGGGCCCAGAGGAAAACATGCTCTGAATTAAATGTCAGTGGTTCAGCAACAAAAGCCTCTCTCAGGGCTAAGACCATCCTTCAAAGGCAGCAAGTCTTACCATAGATCAACACAGGAAAAAGAAAGCAGCAGGGACCACAGCAGAGATCCCTATCTCCATGGCAGGGAAGGGGAGGGGAAAGAAAGGGAGCTTGTCACTCAACAGCAATAATAAACACTTCTGAGTGTGCTTCCTCCTCTCCCTGCAGGAGCATCTTCACCCTAAGCACTGATGGGCTTCAGGTGGGATCAGTCAGATCCAAACCTCTCAGTTCTGATATCCCTGTCAGAAAAACATCCTGGGGGAGCTGTGGATGGTGAAGATACAGAGCAATTTCAGGGTGTCCCATGGTGCTGAAGACAGTGATGTGTTACCTCAATGTGTTTGTTGTTCCATACAAACCACTCAGAAGACACCTGTAAAAAATTAGTATGTTGCAGATGAGAAGAGGATCATATCTCTTCCTTTCAAGCAATTCACCATCAAGGAAAACACTACTGTGAAGTGTTTGACAGGAGAAACAAGCCAGAGCTTCGCTTTCATTCAGCTCTTTGGCTTTAATGCCAAGCCACAATTTATCTCATGAAGGAGAAAAAAAAGCAGTAAAGGAAACACTAACCAGGGTGAACACGCTGCCTGCTGTGGCCTGGAGGCAGGAAGGTGGCTTCAGCAAAGGCAGGGGTCATGATAGCCAGGTCACCACTGCCCTTGACCTCACTGCCCACGGGTGGGATGGCTGCTCACCTGACGCAGCCAAGAGCTGCTCCTGTGGCTGGTACCGTGGCCTTTGCAAGCTGCTCCAACAGGATTTACAGACTGCTCTCTTATCAAACCTGGTGGATTCCCTCTCCCACTCCTTTCCCAGCCCTTGCCCCACACTGGGAGATACAGAACATGATCCAGCACTGAGGGCTGACCTTATGTCTAGAAAGAAAAGGACATCACCGTGATTCTGCTTTCCAAGGCTCTGGATTTTTAGCAAACTCCTACTCTTTCCTGAGTTCACCTTCCCGAGAGGAGAGCAACTTCAGGAAATCGTGTCAGTCAGGAGTCCAGGAAAGAAAACTGTAATGTGATATAGGTCTAACCCAGAGAAACTCTGGGAACGTCTCCTTTTACAGAGGGTCCTTCCAAAAGGAAACCGACCCATTGTAAATAATGTGTCTGGGAAGAGAAGACAAACCTTTAACCATTCCCTTGCCTCTACTGCTTGCTCGAACTGCAGCTTTCCTTGAAGTGAGGCAAAGTTACCCTCTGCATCCAGCACTTCCCAGCTCTATCCTCTGGCTCTGTGTACCTCACAGATCCCACTGTTTTGCTAATCCCACTGCCTGAAACTGGGATTAAAGTAAGGTTAGCCAGGTAGATGAATGAGTGGTGCTGCAGACCCTACAGATTTGGTGCTTGTGCCTAGCCCTTCCTGCCTGCCTCATTTTCCCAAATCTACCTGGGCATCCAAGGGAAGGGAGCAAATATAGAAAGGGTCATTCCGTCTCTTCCCAAGTGCCATTCCCAGGGTTTATACAAAGTCCTGCTTCTGATACAGAGCACAAAGCACATTCACTCATATATCTAAAGTGTTTTTAGCTCAGTGGCCTCAAATACAACAATTAACAAATGCATTTCTTCCTTTAAAAGCACTCCTTGCTATTACTACTTAAATCATGGACTCGAGGTGCTGCTTCTCCCAAATTCAGATTAAGAGTTTGAATCAAATTTCACCGTACAGGTTCTGGTTCTTAAGGGAGAGCATAGGCCAAGAGGAGTCACTGGGACAGCTTGTACAAACACACATAGGACACTTGCAAAGCTTAGAGACCTTCAGCATTCCTGAGCATGTGTTTAATTCACCGCAAACACGACACACTCAAATTGTGGACTGAAATGCTTCACTGGGTAAGAATGGGCTTAATCACGTGCTTAAACACTTACTGCATGAGCACTTCAGAGATTAAGATTGATTAGGTCCTTCCCCTACCTGTACCTCATGCCTCCTTTCCTCATGAAAATCTCATTTCTGAAGGCTCAAGGCTCATAAGGAGATACAGGGAACTATTTTTCAACAGGCTGCAAGTTTTTCAGCTTCCTGCCCTTGACCACAGAAGATTTGACATTTTTGGGAGGGATAAAACAATTTTCATCATGAGGTCAGAGTCGAAATCATAGAGGTTTTCCTTTAGTATAGTCACAGAAGTCTTAGTTCCCAGGACTTACAACTCCCTTAAAAAGAACAAAAGCCAGATTTTCAGAGCTTGGCTCAGTGAAATGAAGGTATTAACGTTAATATACTTTATTGATCTTAAAGGAATACAGCATGGAAACAAAGGCCATTAATTGAGAGAAAGGCTCTGTTTACATTAGAGGTCACTCAGCACAAAAGGAGCAGATCCAAAGAGAGTTCCCCACAAGTACAATATACACAGTTCAAGTGTTTACTTTAGCCTAGACTAAGTCTGGTCCCCAATGTCATTTGGACCAAACTTGCCCATATTTTTTGACTGGAAGCTATTCCAGGGAGCCATCACTGGGTTAGATCCCCATGTCCCTGCTCAGGTAGAAACACATTTGCTGTGTCCCTGGAATGGACCATCTGGGTCAGTGTTCTCAAGGCATCTAGCAAGTGTGCCCAAAAACTGCTCTGCTGTCCAAACCAGCACTCACCAAGTGGAGATGACCATAGGACTCACTCCCAGACTGCTCTGTTGCTCCAAGCCAAAGCACCAATGGAGACACAGTCAGATGGAGAGAAACGCTCTCCAAGGATAGCAAAGTCCCAAGGCAAGGAGCAGTGGAGGCATTCTTGTCTCTAGGATGGTTCATTTGGTTTGGAGTTCACCAGCTTTTCCTAGAGTTTATAAGCAACTGTAAGGTGTAAAATTGCTGCCCAACAGTGACTCCCATGGTGACTAATGTATGGACTGAAGTCATGAGGATCATCTATGGACTGTGTCCATAACAGTATTTGTAGGACAGGGAATGATGTTCACCATAACAGAGGACTTCAGCACAGGCTGCCCATGTGAAATTGTGCCATAGGAGAGTGACCAGAAACACATGCCCACAGTCTGAACAAACACGTGTCAGCCAAGCGTGGAAAGTGAACTTCTTTCCAAAGCAATGCAAAACTTGCCTTCAGCAGCACTTGGGAGGGCAAAAGACTAATAAAGAGTGAGGAAATTCAATTGCATAGACAACCCCCATCAGCTACTCCAAGATCATAGGAGCAGAGGAAATGGTCTGCTGTGTCAACAGGATGGTGCATCTCTTCCAGCTAATGGTTCAACAACAACAGGGGAAGACAATCTTGAGGAGGAGCACACAAGCCTGGCCACTATTTGCTGTCCATTCACCTCACAATCTTCCTGGCATCCACAATCATTGACTGGGGATGGTAGAGCACATCCATCCCTACCTTCTCTAACACCTTTGAACTTGCTGATATTACATCTGTCTCACTATTTCCTGTGGTAGCAGATTCCCTGCTGTGTAAAAAAGCACTTTCTAGTATCCCTTTTAAACAGATCCCCCACTGGTTTCTATATCTCCCCTCATTCCAGCACTGTGAGAATTTTCAACCTCTAAAGCCACTTGCAGAATCATGGAACAGTTAAGGTTGGAAAAGACCTCTAAGATCACTGAGTCCAACTGTTACCCCAGCACCATCATGTTCACCACTAAACCAAGTCCTCAAATGCCACATCCACATACTTCTGGAACACTTCCAGGGATGGCAACTCCACCGCTTCTCTGGGAAGCCTGTTCCAATGCAGAGAAGATTTTTCTCCTAAGTTCCAATCTAAACCTCTCCTGGTGCAACTTAAACGTGTTTCCTCTTGTCCCATCACTTGTTTCTTGGGAACAGAGCCCGACTCCCACCTGGCTACAACCTCCTGTCAGGGAGTTGTAGAGAGGAAGAAGGTTCCCCCTAAGCCTCCTGTTTTCCAGGAGCCCCTCCAGCTCCCTCAGCCACTTCTCATAAGACTTCTTCTCTAGTCCTTTCATCCTCTCTTGTCCTTCTCTGGACATGCTCCAGCACCAATTGTTTCTCATCACAGTTCTCCATCTATAATGTTTAGTTAGGAAAAAAACCACCATGCCATGCCAGGAACCCCAGTGCAATACCTTAGAGGTTCAGAGAAATTCAGGAGGAAAGCAAGTTTGACAAACTAACCTGGGGTTTGTGATTTGTCTCCATTGGTTTCTGTGTCCCCTCCTACCATGGACAGGACATTGCAAAGAGCTGAGAATGGCTCAGATTTTCGTACCAGCAGCTCAGTGCTGTGTATTTTTGTTGGCTACTCCAAAGGTACATACTAGACACTGAAGTTAGCTATTAAAAATGCATTTAGCTGTTTCTGCTTCCTCAAAAATGTTCACATCCTTGTTCCCTCCTGTGAGAAAAATCACATGCTGAGGGAGAGCTGTGCCCGTTGTGGTGAATCATCTGCCAAGTGGTGACCACAGCCAACCCAAGCCTTTGCTGCCCTTTGTGACAGAAAGGGATGCAGGTCCCTGAGGGATGGCTTTGCTGGCTGCCACCTGAGGAGCACCACTTGAGCTGCCATTTGACCTTCCTCTGAGCCAACAAACAGATTTGAGATTACTGAAGGCACAGGACTGTCATGGAGAATTTCTTTTCAGTCCTTATCCAGCATAAACCCCAAGCCATAAGGAAACCAGAAAAATTGTAAGGGATGGATAGATTCCCTCTGAAGCCCCAGGATAGGGAAAGCTGCAGAGGGCTGGGACTTAAAGGCTCTCTGCAAACAGGGGCTGTGCCATGGAAGGTCAAAAACAGACCTGGGGAACTGAAACTCATCACTTATCTCCAGTTCTTGCAGGACTTGGTCAGATGCTTTAAGCACCTGAGCAACTGGCAGCGCTGATAGTGGCCTTGATCATTTAGAGGGTTCTGGAAAAAAGGAGGCAGAGTCCTTCAGAGGACTCTCTTTAGTCCAGTCCAACTTACTGAGCTGAAACACGAGGCTGAAACACCTCTTCTTTCAGCCTCTCTTAGAAATACAGCTGAAGCAGGATCAGGCCACTCTATTTATGGGATTCTCCATTCCCCCCTTCCTTCAGCCCCAGCTGTCTGAGCCCTTGCAGCACAGGCACGTTGGATTTCTCAGGACAAGTATGAGGTCCACAGCAGGGGCCCCACGCAGTTGGGACGTCTCGGCACGACGCCAGGGCCTCTCCCTGACCCTGCACGCACCAGACACAGCTTGATTCTTTATTTGCTGACCCACAGCTGGTGGCTGGGGCTGGGGAGCAGAAGACAGACCCAAAAAGCCTGCTGGAAGGCAGACTGCCCAGCGACACGCTCGTCCCCTCAGAATGTGATGCTGATTCCCGCAGCGGGAGCGATTGTGCTCCAGGTGTGCAGAAACACCGTGTTTCCTGAATCACAAGGAATCCACCTAAAGGGGTCTGCTCGTGTTCCTTTCTGTGTCTGTGCTTTCCTGCACTCAGTTACATACAGAGCATAGGGATACCTAATCCCAAAATTCCCCACCACAACCTACCCCCACCTTGAAACAGGTCCCAACGCAATGAAATGTTCCTGCTTCAGACTTCCAAAGGCAACCATAAACACTGGGGATGATTAAAATGTGAACATTATGAAAAATACACGGGCAAGGATTCCAGGCTGTGAAGCTGGAAAGCCAGGTAGCTTAAAGAAGTGCCAGATATTCAACTGGTCTCCAAGATCAGCAGATGTTTTTCAGCCAAACTTACTAACTCAGATGTGTTTCCTAAATCAGAACCAGAGACGAGAATGTGTGTTGTGTATTGGGACCATATCAAGTACTTTTCCAGCACTGTTAAGATCTGTTAATAAAAAAGAAATATGGAGGGGGTTGGGTGTAGATAGAAAAACCTGGGCCTGTCTAAAGGATTCTGGATGCTTACCTAAATCCTGTAAAAAAGGAAAATTCCTTCCCCAAACTGAAAAGACTCAGATGCAATTAAGACAGAGATACCATCAGCCCATTTCCCAGTCTGGTATCAAGCTATTCAGCAAGAGAACTGCAGAATACAGTGGCTGCAGCTGATACAGTCTTAGCAATATTTAGGTGGTTATTTCGGTTTTTTTTTACTCAATTATCTGAAAAAAAACCATTCAGCAGCTCACTTTTGAAAAGCAGCCTCCCTCACCTGGAACAAGGCAATCTGCTATAGCCCTGCAATTAAAACCTCATCCACTGGTTGCTTTGTCTCTCCACCAGTGGCTCCTTTACAGCCAGAGAGATGGAGTGCATGTCTGAGGATCCTCTCTGCAACTCTGCTACAACTTTGAGGAGATTTACAGGGATTTGCACATGTTTTTCTCGCTCAAAGAGAGATTACGTGGCATGATTAAGAGATATTCTAGGAAAGAAACTACTAGCTTCCACAAGATATTCCCTTTGTTTGATACACCACCAATCAGTTATTCATGGGAATGCATTAAGCTGCTGCTTAGCCTTAGTAATGCCATATATAATAACAAACATTACTTCTTTCCCCTCTCTGTGGGGGCAGCCACTGTCCAGTAATTTCTGGATGAATTATTTCATACCATTATATAAATTTTTTATACATACATATATATATATATACACAAGTTGCCCTTCCATGTGTAAAGCAATAGGACAGTTATAAGCAGATAAAGAGAGTTACAGCTTTTCCTGCATCATAGGAGATGGAAGTGCAAGGACTTTCTGGGTCACTGAATCCACAGGCTTGGGATGTACTTTAAAACACTTACAGAAACTGATACCTCTCTACTTAAAAAAAAAAAAAAAAAAAAGAAGAAAAAGTAGTATAAGACATTTTATAGGTAGGGATTCACTACACTGCAGATTAAAAAATAGAATCTGCCTCTTGGAAAAAGTGTTCCCATTGTCTCAGGAACTGCTGCCAGAGATGTTTAATTCCAGGTGGATCTCTCCTTCCTACATCTGCTATGCAAGGGAACCTGAGAAAAAAAGCTGCTCTGCTTTTCAGGTGGGTGACAGCAGGAAAGACACAGAGGAACCACAAAGGAAGGTTCTGCTCAGCAGAATCTTGCCATGGAATGGACAGGCTGCACACAAATCCCTGAAATCCATACCAGTCACAGCATCCACGCCAGTTGTATGTCCACCACTTCGTGGATGCCAAAGCAGAAGATGAACCTGCAGAAACCAGCTCAGCCTGCCAAAAATCTCCAGCCTTCCCACCGGGAAGCTGCACAGCTGTTGCTGTGAAGGGAAACAGTGCGGCCTATGGATAGTTCCCTTCTCTTTTGCTGGCAGACTCACCTCCAGTCCTATGGGAATAAACTGAGACAGAGACCAGTGGGTGACACAATAGTCACTTCTTTCCATGACCTTGCCAGGGCTGTGATAGAGTCAGCTGCCACAGCTAAGGAGGTCACCACAGACCTGTGCTCTCCTTCACCCAGCCCAGCTCCCAGAGCACAGAGCTCTTGGGGATTCATTTACTGGAGGTTTCAGAGGGACACCTGTTACATTACACAGATCGATTTGGTTACAGAAACCAACCATCTGCCCCTGTGTTGTACCAACCAAAGTCTGGAAGCACCCAGACAGCGAGGAGGATTAATATTACACTTCCATCTGCTCCGCAACGTGAGCTGCCCGTCAGCAACAACCTGAAGATGCCTCTGAGACCCTAAATCCTACCTTGCCCTTAGA